TAAGTAACGTACTTACGTAGTATATATCTTGGTTTGTTAGAGTATATATAGTATATACTAGTAGTTAGTACTATATTAGTATAGATACTATACTTATATATATATATATATATATATATATATATATGATAAAAGTGCAGAGAATTTGTGAGTCTTATTTGGGTTATTACATGGGAATGGTGGTTCTTCTAGAGAGAGAGAGGGGGGCAAAGCCTCATGTGCATAAGATGCAGTTTCTTCTTAAAGAGAAGAGAGCTTCTTTTGGACAGAAATATTGTGATGGTACCTCTTGTGGATTCCCAAATATTGAGAGGCTTGTTTCTTATAGAAGAGCGGTTTCCATAGAGATTATGAGTTATTACCTTTTTAGTTAGAGAGAAGTTCAGTTTCTCATTGCTCTCACGTCTCTATCTAGTGTTGTCAGTAATGGTTGCCAGAAATAAAGAGCAGGAAGGGAGAGTGGTTTAAAAAAGTTTGCTCGACTTGGGTTTTTGTCGAGGTTTGTTCCAAAATCTTTGATGTAACTTTCATTGGTATAGTGGATTTATGTTTGCCGTGCTTGTAGATATAGCCATTTTAGGGTGAACTATATAAATCTTCGTATTCTTGTTGTATGTGTTTCATGTTTTATTTCTCATACTTTATTTGCCAAATATTAACCCATCGAGTTTAGAACTTCTACGTACAACAATATTCATATGACTTCTATGGATTGTGGGAAGCATGATATAAAGACCCTTGTGAAATTATTTATTACTACAAGAACATAATGGAGCTCTTGTAAATGTGTGTTTTTATACACTTGATCTAACCCATTTATTTTGTTGTACCTGCAGAGGATAAGGGGTGTAATAAAAATATCCTTAGACATATTGTAATGTATTGTGCTACTCTGTAATGCATGTGTTGATTGGCATCGCATAGTTGGATAACACATCCAAACTTCACCATGTCGTACTTTTTAGCATCTTATTTGTTTAATATTACTATGTCATCTTTATGTCTAGTTAGATTTTGAAAATCTCTATTGTGCTCAATTACTCTTCTTTTATGAGTAAGTTATGTTTTTAAAAATTGGATTTTAGTGTTGTAGATATAATGGCAAACCAAGGTAACAATGATGGAGGATAAAAGGACAAGGTCCTATTAAACCTGAAAGAGAAACATGTATCGGAATTAGTATTTAAAGGAAAGGTAAAGCCAATTCTTTTCATTTATGTCTGCTTTTTGCTAGATGATGTATATGATTAAACTTCCTATACAACCTAAAGTGTCATTATTTACTGTAGGAGAGGCTAAGAATTTATATCAACGAGCCCTCTAGAACCGTCAGAGCATGGCCCATTACAGACGAGCATCGAGAGATTTGTAGAAATGGCAGGGTTGTCAAAAAGGTAACGTCTCGAAACTAACATCACCCATTTGGTGGCATGCATAAGAGAGATGATGCCGACGTGTACGATGCATAGTAGATTCACCGGCTTATGTCACATATTTAAACGATTGGCTCGGAGATTGCCCGGATAAGGGAAGACTGCTGACACTTAAATTCAGCTGGTTGAAAAATATATTTATGAAGCCACTTGGGTGTTATACAATTGGGTATTGAGCAACACACGACGGCCTACTTACTCTTAACTATCGACAATACCATTTTTCCAGTTCAAAAGGCAAAGAACTTCCTACGAGATACCTGACTCTGTTTGAAGATTTTCATCACGGGGGATCATATGCACGAGGAGCGATGTATCTAGCATATATGTTTTGCTTGCCACAGAAGTTTTTGACAATTAAACCCATGGACCGAAATAGGGCAAATGAGGAAGCCAATAGCCATACAAGCCATCACTTAAGAGGCTCGACTACCCTATTTCAAGTAATAAACCTTGTTTTTAATTTCTATGTTGGTGAAACAAAGTCTATCATAAAAAAAATCTAAACTTTTTGGTTTATTGTCCACATGGTACGACCTTCTTGTCTAAAAGAGAGACCATTAGGGTAAAAAATGAAGCAAATTTCATTCCACAATTATTGGATCAGATATTCAAGGAGGTGGGAGAGAACTACATGGTCAAAGTTGTTACAAATAATTCCAAAGCATGTGTTTCAGTGGGGTCAAAGTTGATGGAAAAAAGGAAACATTTGGTATGGACCTCATGTGTTGCCTATTGTATTGATCTCATATTAGTAGAGATTGACGAGCTCAAAAATATGAAGGAGACTCTCTCAACTAGCTGATCCCCAGATTAAAAACCAGTATCGGAACCAACTAGGGAATCTTTCAAAAATAGGCATTTTTATCTGAATAAACCAGGTATGGGAATTATTTAAGTTTTGATATGCAAATACTTTGTGCCATGCATCTATATATTCAGTATATCGATATGATTTGTATTGAAATTCAAGGGCTTGAAGCTTTCTGCCCTGGGATGGGCTACATCCCCAATCATCATATGATAATAATTTTCGTATCTGCATTTTCGAATATCCAATTATTTTTGTATTGGGATTAAAGAAATGAACTATTGATATAGATCCGGTTTTTAAGAGAACATCTTCGTACCATTCTCTGGTCTTGTTGCCGTTTAAAGGATAGATGTGATTTTGTAAATATAGAGGGGCTAATTTATTTGGGTCTATGTGGATATGCTTGTCATCAATGGTAATATCTACCAAGAAAGCAGTTTCTTCGAATACTGATTTATTTGGGTTATTGGATTTATTGGGACTAGATGCAAGGGTAAAAACTGGAGTGGCTTTTGGTTGAGATGAATATTCTGGGTAATTTATTGATCGTGCTAGAGATAAAGGTGGATAAGTATTTAGAGGAGAGTCAGATATAGTCGGGACAATCTCCATAGGAAATTTTCCTTTATTGCTATTATTGATATTCATTTTGAATAATTGTATTGCGTAAGTATCTGATTCTGGTTCAAGAGGCGTGTATATATATATATATATATATAGAGAGAGAGAGAGAGAGAGAGAGAGAGAGAGAGAGAGAGAGAGAGAGAGAGAGAGAGAGAGAGAGTAGTGAGCGAGTACGTACGTCGTAGTACGTAGTACGTACGTACGACGACCGTACCGTACGTACGTACGTACGTACGTACGTACGTACGTACG